TGCCTCTCTCTAAGCCACATCCAACAGTCGCCCGTGTCTGTCCCGTGTATATGTCTCATTGAGTCTGGTGTCATGTACCATCTTGTTAACAGTTTGTAGCTATTTTCCTGCAGTTTCGAGCTGATTGAGCATTTATGGGTGAGGAGGAATATTTTATCCCATTCTTGGTCCGTCAACTGTGTGCCCGTCTCCCCCTCCCATCTGCTTGTGTAGCCTAGTGGGTTGCTATCCCCCGACTGTTGGAGCAGCGTGTATAAATAGGATACCCCGTGGATTAGATGTCGTCTGTCAGTGCACAGTCGCTCGAATTCCGTCAGTGTACGTTGAAGGTGTGTTCTCCCCGTGAGTTTGGCATAGTAGGACCTAACTTGGTAGTAATGGAATTTGTCCAGTGCAGTAGGTTGTCTGTCCGCGATTAGGTCGTCCAACGGCTGAAGCGTCCCCCCCCGGACTCCACTGGCGTACATAGATCCAATCTGTTCTTTGAAAGTTATGTAGGGCAGCCGGGTGAAGGCCTCCAGCCACCCCCGGGTTGTGTGTAATGGGCGTAAGCGGGCTTGGGGATGTGGTGAATTGGTGGACATACCTTAGCCCACACCAAACCCGAAGCGTGGCATCTATTATTGGGTTTTTAGTGTGTAGGTCGGTGAAAGTGGCCCCCCCAACCAGAGCTGCAACGGGACAGTACCCCGTGTCTGTTGCAGTTCCATGGCGACCCATCGCTTGGTGCTGGGCCTCGCGTGCCAGTCTACTATTCTGTGGAGGTGTGTGGCCCTGTAGTACGAGATCACTGACGGCAGCCCCATCCCTCCAGCTATTTTTGGTCTCACCAGGATTGACCTGCGAATGCGCGTCTGCCTGTTGTTCCACACGAACCTTCTAATCGCTGTTGTTGCAGCGTTGAAGAACGTCTGGGGGATCATGGTGGGTAATGTCGCGAAGAGGTATAGCAGCCTAGGGAGTATGTTCATTTTGACCGCACTGATGCGGCCAAACCAGGATACGTACCACTGCGTCCAACGCTGAAGGTCTTGTTGTATGGCTGAGAGGATAGGGAGAAAGTTCAACCTGTATACCTGCGTTAGGTCCGCCGGCAGCCAGGTTCCCAGGTACCGTAGCTTGGTTGTGCACCAGGAGAAGGCGAACTGAGAGCTGAGCTGGCGAGCCTGCTCCTCCTCCTGCATTATCGGCATAGCTTTGGACTTTTCCACGTTAAGTTTCAAGTTGGATACCTTGTGATATGCGCGAAACGCCTGTAGAAGGTTGGGCATGGAAATCCTGGGCTGTTCCAGGAAGAAGAGCATGTCGTCCGCGTAGGCCGCCACTCTGTGCTCTTCGGAGCCCACTCTCACCCATGTTATACCCCCATCCTGTCTGACCGCCTCCAGAAATGGCTCTAGAGAGAGGGCAAACAGGAGAGGGGACAGGGGACAACCCTGCCGGGTCCCGTTGCAAATCGGGAAGGACTGCGTTAGGGCTCCGTTAATGCGGATCCTGGCCGTTGGGGAGGTATATAGCGCTGACACCCAAGCTCGCATAACCGGACCGAACCCCATCTGTCGTAGAGTTTCGTCCAGATAGACCCAGTCCACCCTGTCAAACGCCTTTTCGGCATCTGTAGACAGGAGGACCGTGTCCCTCCCGGAGGTCCGTGCCCAGTGTATGATGTTCAGGGCTCGTATCGTGTCGTCCCTGGCCTCTCTGCCCGGAATAAAGCCCACCTGGTCTGGGTGAATGAGATCCGGCAGGATCCGCGACACCCTCAGGGATAGGGCTTTGGTAAATAGCTTCAAGTCAGCGTTTAGTAATGAGATTGGTCTATAGCTCGAGCAGTTTGACGGGTCTTTTCCGTCTTTAGGGATGACCGTGACTATCGCAGCCAGGGAGTCTGTGGGGAACCGTCCCCCATCCTGTATGGCGTTCAGTCCCGTCAGAAGTCGGGGTAGTAGGGCGTCACGGAATGTTCGTAAATATGTGAGTGGGAGGCCATCCGGGCCGGGGGCCCTGTGTGGTTTGGAGCGTTTCATGGCCGTGGATAGGTCCTCTAAGGTCAGGGGTGCGTCAATTTCCTCAGCTAGCTCTGGGGTGAGTTTGCGTGTGACATGTTGCGTTAGATAATCCGTCACTCTCCTGCGGTGGTGTTGGGCTTCTATCCCCTGTGTGGGCCTAGCTTGGTTGTAGAGGTCCCTGTAGTACGCCCTAAATGCTGACATAATGCCCTCAGGTAGTCTGGTGATCTGTCCCTGGCTGTTGCGTATCTGGTGAATATGTTGGATTCTACGCCTCTCTCGGAGCACTTGCGCCAGGAGTCTGCCGCTTTTATTTGAGTGTTCATAAAAGTGCCGCGCTGATTTCCGCATCGTGCGTAGGAGTCCCTGAGATAAGTGTGCTTTAAGTGCCCTGCGTGCCTCTGTAAGTCGTAGGTACGTGTCGTCGTTTAGGGTATGTTTATGTGAACTCTCCAGGTCTGCAATCCGAGTCGTGAGGTCGAGTATCTGGCGGGCCCTGTCTTTCTTACGTTGTGTGCTGATAGATATAAAGTGACCCCTAATAACGCATTTATGGGCTTCCCATAGCATCAGTGGGGACATGTCGGGGGTGTCATTGGTCAAAGTATTGCGTAAGCGTCTGCAGTGTCTTGGTGCGTGTCTCGAGCTCTGTTAGCAGGGTTTCATTAAGTTTCCAATGGCGTTCGACCGGTTTAAATAGTGGCGAGCTCATTACCACTGTGTTCGGGGCATGTTCGGACTGGTTGATAATCCCTATGGATGCCTCCCGAAGGAGCGTTAGGCTCTCCTGAGGCATGAAGACATAGTCTATCCTACTGTAATGCCTGTGTACCGACGAATAGTAGGTAAAGTCTCTGTCGTCAGGGTGGGCTACCCGCCAGCAGTCAACCAACCCCATACCCGCCAAGGCACGCCGCACTGTGCGTGTACTGTGTTCCGGGACCGTGCTGGTCCCTCTGGATGTGTCTATCCGGGGGTCCAGGGGAACGTTAAGGTCACCTGCCAATATCAGTACGCCGTCCCTGAATTTTTCCAGTTTGGTAAGTGTTTTGGCCAGGAAGGTATGCTGTCTGCGGTTAGGGCTATAAACACATGCAAAGGTGTAGGTGTGGTGTGCAATGGTACCCTTCAAGAAGAGAAACCTCCCGTCCGGGTCCTTCATAGTGTCAATATGTTGGAACGGAACTGTTCGGGAGAACAGAATCGCCACTCCCGTTTTCTTAGACTCTGGGTGGTTGGCGTAGTACCCATTCTCAACCTTTGGGGAGACCTGACCCCTGAAGTGCGTCTCCTGCAGGAGTGCCACGGACACCGTTTCCGCCCATAACTGGCGCAATAGGTGAGACCGCTTCTCCGGAGTGTTTAGGCCTCTCACATTATTAGACCACACTTTAAGCTGTGCGGGAGCGAGCTTCTCCCCGTCTCCCCAGACTGGACTGCCCCTCCCATGCCCTGTTTGAGCAGACATGGTTTAAATGTTTATACGTGGATGAGTAAGGGGCGGGGGGGGAAGAGCGGGAAAATGGGAGCGAGGGAAAGAGGGTAGAGGGGGTGAAGGCGAAGAAAGTAGAAAAAGCGAAGAGAGAGAGAGAGAGAAAAAAAAAACCACAAAACGCAACAAAGAACCTTGGTCGGATAGAGGTGTGCGGCAGCTGCTCGTCAGCAGTCCTACCGAACGCCGACCAGTATGTACACCACAGGTCAGTTGCGTGGGGTGTGAGCAAGGACACCTACGGCACTTGTCAATGTAAAGTGTGTGTGTGTCGAGTTCGTGTCCGTCTCCCGGTGCTCCCAACCCGCCGGTCCTAGTGTTAAGTTGTCCCCGTCTCATGTCCGGCCCAGATGTGTGGGGACTGGTCGCCCCGGGCACGTCCCCAGCTCTCTTCCCTTGGGGCCTATCCCCCTTAATATGTGTGCGTATCCTGTCAGTTCCGGTGGCAGCATTCTGACCTTTATGGAGAGCGCCGGGACCAGGCCCCCCCCACCCCCTTGGCCATCCGGCGTCCTTCCCTAGTCCCGTCCTACCCCGCCATGATACCCTGTTCCATTACCCTCGTGGGCTTGTGGGTCAACTAGCCCTTCCGTCCCCTTATCCTATTCCTAATTAATGCATCATGCAACAAGTAACAAGTGAGAACCATTTTAACACGGTATTATGCCTCCCCCCCTGGCCTATGCACGGGTCCCCTCTAGCGCCCCCGGGTGCACGGTCGTCTCCGGCTCTCATCCCCACTGGGGACCGGGAGCGAGCCCCAGACTTTCGGGCCATGCGGATCGGGAATGGCGTGCTTCCAAGCTCCCCCTACCTCTCTGGTTTCCCTGGGGTTCTGCGGCCCCTCTGGCTGGCCCCCAGAGACTCCTACCTTCCCCCAGGCTGCAACCCCTCTGGGTTCCGGCCCCCTCCTCACTCCTACCCCGATGCCCGACGGCCTGTCCAGCACTCCCTGCAGCTGGGGTCCCCTCCCATGCAGCCAGCCCTTCCCCTTATCTCTCCGTATGCCTTCCTGCCCCCTGTTCCCGGCTCTTTCCTCCCTTCACTGTGTGCCGGGCTTTCCGTTTGGGGCAACCTATGCTGATCTAGAGAGACCCAGCTGTACCCCATTTGACCCCATCCCCTCCCTACATCAAGTCCGTCATACCAGGCCCCCCCTCCACAAGTCTGCTTTGCCCCCTCAGTGGCCATGCATAGTAGGATGTGCCATGACTTAGGTCTTTAATGTCCCCATTTTGATGTCTGCAGCCCTTCCCGTCCCCCGCCCAAGTGGTGGATCCCCCGGGGGAACCGGCTTCATAAAGTACCCTATGGTTCAATGGGCCTGGGGGTAAGCTCCCAGTAAACCCCGTTTGCTGAGTGTCATTGTCATAACATGCTCTTTCTCTCTTACGGGCAGGCCTGCCTCCATCCCATGGTGCAATGCTCTGTGGCTCTCGAGGCGTTCAGCCCGGTCCGGGACCCCCACTGGGATCCCCCCCCGGGCGCATGCTGTCCTCCTACTCCTCCGAGGCGCTGGGACCTTCCCGGCGTATCGGAGAACGCTGCTGGGTATCTTCCATCAGATTCTCCGCTGGGACTGTAGGGCCTGTGGGTCTGGTCGGTGGATTTTCCAATATCCAGTTAGGGACAGGAATCTCTGGGAGGCCTGCCGCTCGCAGGAATCTGGGCACATCGTTAGGCCAGCGGACTGCCAGCCAACGGTTATTCACTCTGGCCTGTAGGCTAAACGGAAATCCCCATTTATATGGGATCCGTTTCTGCTGTAAGAGGCCTGTGAGTGGCTTCAGAACTCGTCTGGCATCAAGGGTGAGGGGGGACAGGTCGTGGTACAAGGAGACCCTAGAGTCCATGTATGTAATGGTGCGCTGCGTTCTAGCCGCCCTCATGATTGTTTCCTTCAGCTGGAACGATTGGAAGCAGCATACCAGGTCCCTAGGGAGGCCATCTCTCCTTGGGGGTCGGAGTGCACGGTGGGCACGCTCCAAACCGAAATCCGGTGGTGCTTCTTCCCCCAGTACTTGTGTGAACAGGCCCTCTAGTATCTCCCTTGGTGATTCCCCTTCAGATTCCGGCAGGCCTCGGACGCGGATGTTATTGCGCCGACCGCGATTCTCCAGATCTTCCACCTGGCGTCTGAGCTCCAGAAGGAGGTTACCTTGCCTCGAGGTTGCCAGGTCGGTCGCCCGTTGTTGTTGTTCAGCCTGCAATCGTTGGACCTCCAGTTCATCTACCCGGTGTTCCAGCGCTGTGAGGTCTTGTCGAACTGCAGCCACCTCCTCCCGGATAGCTGAGCGGAGGTCAGCCACGAGCTCCTTCTTGTCCTGCCTAGTCAGCATGTTTGCGGAGATCGCCGCCAATTCCAGCGACATTTGGGTGAGGGCATCCCTTCGTGGTGATTCTTGTGCTGAGCTCGCCCTGCTGCTCGATCCCGGCAAGCCGGGCGCCATTTTGTCAGAGCCACGTGTGCCGGCTAAGCAGTGTGGCGTGGCGAGGAATTCGTCCATCGGCCCCGATTGCTGCGGTATGGCGGGTTGTTGCGGGCCCGGGGCAATCCCCCTCCTCGATTTGCCCATTCAGACGGGTGTGTGGACGCTATTTTAACGGGCTTTGGCAGGTTGGGGCCCGGGAGCTCTCACGGCCTGCGTCCTACTCCCTCGGCATCTCAGCCACGCCCCCCCTGTATGTAATTATTTTATACACTTTAGGTGAAAAAAAAAAATACATACAGGGCTAGAAAAACTTCACTTTAGCATGACAGACAAGATTTAAAGGCATAAAAAATACAATGCACACAGGATATATAAAATAAGATACATGTACAGGGTGGTTAAATTAAATATAAATGATGCTGTGCAGGATAGAGGCTTAGTGTGATCTTCCAGACGGCTACCTTTGCTTAGTGCAGACGATCACCTGATGGATCTCAGTCTTTCTTACAGCAATATTGGGGCTTAGCAGGTAGCCTATTTTGGACAGGGCCAGCTTATTTCTAAGCCTCAATGCTAGTTGTTTATTTGCTTTCTTGCTAGTGTGGTATACTGTGGCTTTGAGTTTATTAATTTGAAAGCCAACTTTAGTGGAATTCAACTCCGTGACTGAGATGTTTATACAATAAGTTCAGTTTGGTAGCCAGTTCAGGAAAGAGAGTGTCAATTTGTTTTGGTTCGACACAATGCTATATTTTTGTGGCAATCTGTTAGGGCTGTCTGCTTTGTTTACTTGATGCATGCACAATGCTGAATGAAAAGACCCCTAATCACTGCTTTATGGGCTGACCATACAGTAAAGTTGGTTGAGACGTCACTAGAGTTCAGTTGGAAGTATTCTTCCAAAGCCTGCGATAGATGTTTTTTGCGAAGCTGTCATCTAGTAGGAGAGACTCATTTAAACTCCATTATCCCATCCCTGGAAATTAGAGTGAATCATATAAATCTAAGAACACAGGGCCATTGGCAGATCACGTAATATATTCAATTTTACAACCTGACAAGGTAATCTATGCGTATATATGTATTATGGACTCAGGAGAGGAAGGTGTAATTTCTTTCCATAGTGTGGAGAGTCCTCCATCCGTCATAAAGGTTGTGTTGATTAAGTAGTCTGGTCAGGGTATGACATGTTTTGTGCATTTGGTGCTACCTTTTTCCTGTAGGTTGTGCTGTGGTGTCAAGTGTATGAAATTGAATTCACAGCAGAGGATAAGCCGTCCCTGTTTGACTTAATCTATCTTGAAGAGGAAGGAGTGTAGAAAGTTTCTATAGTCCCTATTAGAGAAATAAGTAGAGACAAGGGTATACTGTGAATAATTAAACAAACCTAGTAAAATTAGGAACCTGCCCTGGATATCAGTAATTAGGTGCTGACAAGTAAACGGTACATATCTTTGAATAAAAATCGATACGCCTTTGTTTTTTCATTTCCAAATGGGCTTGGTATTGAGTAAGAAAATGTTTGGTGTAGCTGGCAGGAGTATAGGTGTTTTTTAAATGAGTTTCCTGGACACGTGCTATGTCCACTTTTTCACATCTCATATCCCGTAGTAGCAAATGTACTTTACTAGGGGAGAGCACTTATTTATTGTGGTGTTATAGCGGGGAAGCCCACTTATGATTTATATATTCTTGACCATGAAAAGCAAGAGAATCCTTGTTTGGAAAAACAGATTCTGTCGTTGAATACGAGACATATTTTATTCTTAAGTAGCACTGCAACAACTGACAAACTGAGTTTTGGTTGAAAAGATGGAAACTATAATTCTGGAACTACCTGCTCCTTCCACCACCGTTACCACTGTTGGACAATCATAGTCATATTAAAGACTAACTAACACAAACACTATATACCTGTAAAAAAAAAAAAAATGTACATGAGCAGCGGCTGACAACCTTTGAACGGGTCCTAACAATACAATTAACGTCACGGAAAACTATATCTTTACTGTACACCAGCCTAAACAAAGGCCTGAACATCAAACAATTACCTTTCTTTCGAGCCTGGGAATGTGAGTTACACCTCACTCTACCCGAGAAGGCTTGGAAAAAAATTGTTCACCACTCACAAAAAACTAACCCTCTGCTCAACCCACATTGAGCTTGAAGTGGAAATCAATTCAATCAATTGATTATTTTGTGTATCTGCCCCTGGCCAAATTAAAGAAACAGTGCGTGCACCCTGAAGCAATTCACACCAGACACAGGTTTCAGGTTAATGAAAAACTTGAGGAATGTTTATTCAGTGGGGATGACAGGTCCCTTTTAAAGCAAAATTACATCATAAGGATTGTCAGAGAGAACATGAAATAATGCCTTATTAATTGGTTAGGTGTTAAGTGGTCTTCTTAATGCTCTGCCTACTAAGGGTGATGTCACTGGGACCACGAGGGTCTCCCCCAGGTTCCAGCTCTACCTGTTACACAAGGTAGTTAGTCAGTGTTAGAGGGAGGGAGGGGTTGGAAGCTTCTAGCGGCCATTTTGTCTAATCATGTGTTAATAGCTTATGCATCGATTCTGTTTAGATGAGTAAATAGACATTTTACTAACTAAAATTACATCAATATCTCATTTCCACAACAGAGCTGTCTAAGAAAATAATATACAGATGTACCTAGTGCCAACGCGGCTACACCGCATGACCCCCAGTGTGTCTAACAAATGCTGGAGGTGTCAAGTAGGAATTGGGGATATGCTCCACATTTGGTGGGCTTGCCCACGACTCTCAAAATACTGGCAAAACGTTGCATGACTTATAACTTCCCTGACAGAGTTGACCATTCCATACATTCCAGAAAATTTCCTATTACAAAAATACCCTTCAAAACTCACGACAGCGATAGTTTACCTTACCTATCAAATTAACATAGCAGCACTGAGGCTCATTAGTAGAAAGTGGAGATGTACAGACCCCCTGACCATACAAGACTGTATCCATCTAGTGGACCTAAACAAAATCTCGGAATGTGCTGCGAGACTAACTGCCAACCAACAGAACAAAATTTGGTTGATAATCTGGAATAGATGGAATGAGGTCACCATGATATGATTCCATGAAACCATGACCACACACCATCAGAAGTGTCGACAGCCGTGCTCATAGAGAAAACCCACTGTACAATGTGGTAGTGTGTTTATGATGTACCCATGTTTTACCATGTATGCCCCCCGAACACAAACGCACCCGTGTTGGGGCCTGACAGCCCAGATAGGAGCTCTACCAACTCATTGACTCATGCCACAATGGCAAATACATGTTTAGGAAATTATTGTCTCATGCACCCCAGCCGCACATGCATAAGTGTCTGAATATGTAAACCTCTCAACCCCCTTTCCCCTGGTCCCCTCCCTAACCTCTACCCCCTCCCCCCATTATTCATATTTGAAATGTAAAACCTCACAGCACAATGATGACACCTGTACTAGGGAACTGGTCAAAGCAACATGAACACCGGGTACGTTTGATGTAATAATAGGGAAAGAAAAGTGTAATTACTTGGAAAACCCATACTGTAATGTTGTTATACTCGCATATGTCTGTGAACCAAAATTTCATAATTAAAAAGACTACCTAACTTAAATAATTAATGCTGTTGTGGGTTGATTATGGTTGAGAATTTGATTGATTACTCTTAGGATAATTTTTAATCTTAGAATACAGCAATATGTATGATAAGTTTTATCTGAAACTTCTGCAGAACCACGTAATTTGAACGTTCTGCATTGTTAAACCTCAAGCTCTTTCCCCTGAGAAACCAAATCCTAATTGTACCTTTGCGTAAAATTGTAAAATTCTTCTGTCTTATATTACTTTTTTTAGTCAAAACTGTTGTTATAGAATGTTTATTACTTACATATCATTTAGTCTGTGCTTTAAAAATGCTGCTTTACCAATTAAATATCCATAACAAATGGTTATTTTGCCTTCACAATGAAAACAGCTAGAGTAAATTGTTTTTTCTTTAGTCTCATATATGGAAATGTAAAACATCTTGAAAATACTCATACACGTAGATTTCATGTTGCCATCAGCAGAAAACTTCCAATAAAAAGTAATTATAATTGTATTTAATGCTACTGTTAAGATACCATATTGTTAGTAAAAACACTAACTGACTACATTAATACAATTCAATAGCATGTTCAGAATGCCTAAATCACCTTGTGTCCCATAGCTTACCTTAGTTGTTTCATTAAATTCCAAGTTGTTCTTGAAGGAGAATAATTTATACATTATGTGAGAGGTAAAGCACCTTACACGTTTGTGGAGTCAGTTCTTATCTTCTTCCCAAATGTATCAAGAGGTACCATGAGGCCAGTTACGCATTATTATTGTCACTGAATATACAATGCAGATTGGAAACCTCATGAGCATTCATAGTGCAGTGAGAGAGGAAGATCTTTTGCTTGAACAACATTAGCAAAGCAAGTACTTTCATCCAGTAAATTAACATTTCATCAGACGCTATTAAAATAAGAAAAAGGTGTAGCAATGATATTTGGTCTGCAGCTACAATTTCTACTTCAGATGTCCAGACTGACAAATGTCAGGACTGTTTGTTTGTCTGGATTAGCTTATGCATGCTGTTTTAGAGTGATAGTAAGTTGAACATGTGTAATTCATATATTTGCTCCAGTCCTTTTAGCCTGAAACTACCAATTTGACTTTATATTTCCATATGATACATCTGTCTTGATGACTTGTATGTATTTTACTTGTATGACTTGTATGTTGTTTAGTGGATAATTATAAAAACAAGTTTTAGTTAGACATGAGCTTATCTTAGTTATATGAATTATACATTTGTACTTCCCACAATCGCCTGTAATATAAACCTCAGAAAAGTAAGATAAGTGAGCTCTAATAAGCGCAGCAATTATGCGAAATGAATAGTCTTCTATGAGTGGGGCTGGTCAGCTAATATGCCCACTTTTTGGGGATTTTACGACGTTTTATTTCTCTGCACATAACCAGTGAAACACATGACATCACTGACATGCCTATTAATGAACAA